CCATGAATGTCCACATCGGGTGCCTCAATGTCCACTTTGGGGCCCTTGATGTCGATGTCTGGGGCCTTCAGGTCACCCTCCAGCTTTGGAAGGGACACGTCCACATCACCTTTGACTTTGGGGCCCTTCAGGTTGAAATCAACATCAGGCATGGAGATCTTGGGGGCCTTGATGTGCATCTCAGGCATCTTGAACTTGGGGCCTTTGATCTTCCCCTCGGGACACTCCAGCTCCACGTCCGGGAGGTCCACATTGACTTTGGGACCTTTGATGTCGATGTCTGGGGCTTTCAAGTCTCCCTCAAGCTTTGGAGCAGAGACATCGACATCTCCCTTTAATTTGGGGCCCTTCAGGTTCAGGTCAATGTCAGGCATGGAGATCTTGGGGGCCTTGAAGTGCATCTCAGGCATTTTGAACTTGGGGCCCTTCAGTTTCCCCTCAGGACACTCCAGGTCAACGTCAGGGAGGTTGACATCAACTTTGGGGCCTTTGACGTCCAGTTCAGGCCCCTTCAGGTCCCCTTCAAGCTTGGGAGCAGAAACATCGATGTCCCCCTTGACCTTGGGGCCTTTGAGGTTGAAATCAACGTCGGGCATGGAGATCTTGGGGGCCTTGATGTGCATCTCGGGCATCTTGAACTTGGAGCCTTTGATCTTCCCCTCTGGACACTCCAGCTCCACGTCAGGAACCTCAACGTCCACTTTTGGACCTTTCAGTGACACCTCCGGCCCTTTCAGGTCCCCTTCGAGCTTCGGCACGGACACATCGACGTCGCCTTTGACCTTGGGGCCCTTCAGATTCAGATCAAAGTCAGGCATGGAGATCTTGGGGGCCTTGAAGTGCATCTCGGGCATCTTGAACTTGGGGCCTTTGATCTTCCCCTCGGGGAGATCAATGTCCACATCGGGACCTTTGATGTCCACGTCTGGGCCCTTCAGGTCACCCTCCAGTTTTGGGGCAGAAATGTCCACATCCCCCTTCAGTTTGGGGCCCTTCAGGTTGAGATCAATGTCAGGCATGGAGATCTTGGGGGTTTTGAAATGCATTTCGGGCATCTTGAACTTGGGACCTTTGATCTTCCCCTCGGGACACTCCAGGTCGATGTCGGGGAGCTCCACATCGACCTTGGGGCCTTTGATGTCGACATCCGGGGCCTTCAGATCTCCCTCGATTTTCGGGGCGGACACATCCACATCTCCCTTCACTTTGGGGCCCTTCAGGTTGAGATCAAAGTCAGGCATGGAGATCTTGGGGGCCTTGAAGTGCATCTCGGGCATCTTGAACTTGGGGCCTTTGATCTTCCCCTCGGGGCCCTCCAGCTCCACGTCGGGCACATCCACGTCCACTTCGGGTCCTTTCAACTCCAGATCCGGCACTTTCATGTCACCTTCTATCTTTGGGGCAGACACGTCCACGTCTCCCTTCACTTTGGGACCTTTCACGTGCAGGTCGACATCAGGCAGAGAAAACTTTGGCGCCTTGATGTTCATTTCGGGCATCTTGAGCTTGGGTCCCTTCCACTTCCCCTCGGGACCTTCAACGTCCACCTCAGGAATGTCCACATCCAGCTTGGGACCTTTAATGTTCACATCTGGACCCTTCAGGTCGCCCTCCAACTTAGGGACGGAGACATCAACGCCCCCCTTGACTTTGGGACCTTTCAGGTTCAGGTCGATGTCAGGCATGGAGATTTTGGGGGCTTTGATGTTCATCTCGGGCATCTTGAACTTGGGGCCTTTGATCTTCCCCTCGGGCCCTTCCAGCTCCACATTGGGGAGATCAACATCGACCTTGGGGCCTTTGATGTCGATGTCTGGGGCCTTCAGATCTCCCTCGATTTTTGGGACGGACACATCCACATCTCCCTTCAGTTTGGGGCCCTTCAGGTTGAGATCGAAGTCGGGCATGGAGATCTTGGGGGCCTTGATGTTCATCTCGGGCATTTTGAACTTGGGACCCTTCACCTTCCCCTCTGGGAGATCAATGTCCACCTCTGGACCTTCAATGTCCACCTTGGGGCCGGAAACGTCCAGGTTTCCTTTTGGGAGGTTCACATCCACCTCGGGGCCTTCTCCCTTCAGCCCAAATTTGGGCATCTTGAA